TATATTAGTCTTCTGAAAGGAAAACTGAAGTATAGTTTAATTACCAGTTAAACTATTGGGCAGGTTAGTTAGTTTTCCCCACCTTCATGTTGTGCTACAGTAAGACATTCCTACTTGTCTTACTGTATTTGCTAGAAAACATGAACATTACTGTGACAACTGACATTTCAAATTTTTCACAAGTTTCTAGTAATGTAACATTTCTCCACACATCTTGCACTTCTGAGATATTTCTACAGGAGCATGTTGAAGGGAGAATGATAGCTGTTTCCTGCACCGGTGCTGCCCAGGGCCTTCTCTTGGCATCAGCAGCAGGGTGAAACCATCCCGGTCGGAGCCGTGGGAGCGGCGCCGCTGCTGCGGGGGCTGCGGTGTGGGCACGGGGGCAGGTGCCCCGACAGCAGGTTTCTCAGCTGCTGCCAGCAGCGTTTGAGAAGTACGAGGCAGAGGTAGTACGAGGCAGAGGTAGAAGAGTGACGCCGGTAAGGCCCCTAACAGCTGAAGAGGGCTGTGCAGCACGCTAAACAACTTGCCTTTTGCAAAGAAGTGCAGTCAAATCTCATTAAGGCTGTTCTTCTAAAAAGATAATCATTAACTTTTATTTGTGCCGTTGTTCTGCAGTTCTTTAAGTAATAGGAATTAATTGAAAAAGCAACTGGAGCATTTTACCTAATTCCTAAAAAATCATGTATCGAAGCATGAGAGGTTGATTAAAAACATTAGATACTCAGTATGTACACGTATTCGTATTCTGTACCCATACTCACTGTATGTGTGGGGGGGATGAGGTTGTGCCAGCAATTGTGCAACTGAAGTAGCGGAGGGATTTGTGAAGAAGATTAGAGTTGGCTTCTCAAGTGGATTCAGAGTGCTTCAAAGGATGCATAGGAAGTGAGGGAGAAGAGTTTTCAATAGTGGCTCTGCGAAAGAGATCAGTGTCTCTTTGTAAAGAGGAGTTTCAGTTTAAGATCACTATGGAGTAAAGCACTTCCAGTTAACTCGGTGTAAACTAGTGCCGTTTCTTAAGAATTGCCTCAGAGATTTGTATGGGATAGTAGGGATGAGGAGATACTTGTGTTTGAGGATTGCCTTCCCTTCCCCTGAGTTTTGAGCTGAGGAGCAGTGGGGCTGAGGGGAGGGAGAGCTCCGAGACCTGTGTGACAGGAGAGCTGTAAGCCTCTGAGGAGGTGTCATGTAACCTTTCAGCCTAGGGATCCTCTTATGCACTGACAAGCTGCTTCTCTCTTCTGCCTGGTTGGGGTTATGAACAGTTTCAAGGGCTTGCTTGGGAGCAACATGGTAACAGGATTTTAAGATCTAGGAATGAATTTTTCCTTTGCTGCCCGAGTGGCTTGGGTAATGTATGGTTAGGGAGCGGGCGGTGGGGTGGGGTGTATTTTTTTTGCTTTTAACCTAAAGGATATATTAGATTGTAACAACGCCTTTTTTGTTTTTTTCTCTTTCACAGCTCTAAAGCTGCATAATAAATACAGTAATTTCAAAACTTTTCAGCTTTCTTGATAAGAACTGCATTAGGAAAGACATCTTTTACAGGAGTGAAGAAATTGTTTGGGTACAGTAAAGTTCGGTTTGCTGTTGCACACCCGTTTCATGAGCAAGGGCTCCCCGTGCTGGGATCGCTAAATACGATTGGGGAGGAATCATCAAGATCTTCCAGTGGTTGTAACAAACTGCAAAGAATATGTGGTCCGTGGTGGACAAATTACCGGCAGGTATTTTTGTTGTATACAGCATCCTGTGGCAATGAGTTCCACAATTTATTAAACATTGTGTGAAATGCCTTTTCCTTTGTTTTAAGCATGTTTGAGTGATATTTTCCTTCGTTGCCTCCTTGTTCTTGTTTCTGTGGGAAACAGGGAAATACTCTCTGTTCAGGCTTTGCATAGTTTTCAAACATGATGTGTAATTTGGCAGGTGTCAGTTATATCTTCTGTCGTTTCTTTCCAAGTTTATTCTTCTTTTAAAACTATACCTTTTACCATACTTACTGTTCCCTCTGCTACCTTTTCTTATTATACGGTATCTTTGGATAGGACAGCCACAACTGTGTTATTCAGACATTAGCAAATGGTATTTGTGGGTTTTGGGGGAGAAAAAAAGGTCAAAGAGTAGATTTTCTGCAAATTCTAGAGAGGCCAATGCAGGAAAAATTCTGTTGTCTTAAATAGACTTTTATTCAGGTTCAGAGTTGTACATTTTGAGGTCCAGGGAATTCAGGCTTAATCTTTGCTTGTGCAGCATCTTTTTATGCCTGTTGGAGAAAATGTTTGGGCCAATACTGCGCCTTTTCAGCTATTTTGTTACATGTTCTCTCCTAGAGACAAATGAGACCGGTAAAGAGCAGTACACACTCAAACGCTGTTACTTAAAATCTAGCTAGTAGTTGGCTGGAATTACTCTTAAGAACTTTTTTGGGTTGTTTTTTTTTTAATTGCTATTACACAGTTTTCTAAAGAATCTGTCATAAGCATCTGAAGCTTTACGATCTATACATGCTATAAATTGGGCGAGTTTTTTCATGAATGATATAAAATCAAGGAGGGAGAGCAATATCATCACTTACTAACACCTTGATTATGTAAGATAAAACAAAAGAAAAAGTGCACTAGCCATCAACTGCTTTTATGGTTGTTATTTACAGATGTTTTTAACCTTTATAACCCAGATCTATATTAGATAGATAGAAATAAGGACTATTTCAGTTTCTTTTATATGTAGATTTTTACTTTTTCTGTGAAAACATTTCTTTACATACTTGTTTGGACCTCTTTTAAAAAGACTTGCCTGCCGTGCTGTTTATACAACAGTATCATTAAAGCAGTAATCAAGAAAGGGCTTAACTCTGGAATTAATATTTAATTGCTTCTGTAGAACATTGCTCACATGTCATTTGTTGTGTTTCTTTTACAGTGACAGAATGGTTCCTTTATTTTCTGTTGGGAAACCGCAATAACGAACCTGTAGTTAAGGGTTTCTTCAGGGTCTTGTCACTGGGGGGAGAGGGGTTGTGCGCTCCTAAGACAGCAGAAGCTTTGCTGGTGGGGCCCGTTTGATCTCCGTTGCTTCATGCTATACCTGTGTCTTGTACCAGCAGGTATAAAGTCTCACTTTAACTATAAACACTTCCTTATTGCTTCTATCTGAGACAGTGTTCAGATTTGCACTTTCTATTTCATTTAGCTTGTATGTAGCAGCTAGCTTTTTAGTACTTAGTTATTTAGGGGCTAGAAAGATTTGGGATATTCCTAGAAAATAAAAATAAAAATCTGTTCTTGTAATTTACCCCTGCCCCATGCATGCTTTCATAATTTTTACTGTTAATATTGAGAAACTAAATTACACAATTTTGAGAACTGTATAATCTTTCCCTTAAGCCAGTGACTAGAAGAATTATTTTCATTGGTTTTTATCCCTCAAAAGCATAAAATATTTTTGATTGTTCTCTCAAGAAAATAAGGGCAGTAGACATGGTGTTAAAATGCAGTGAATGAAGTCTAATCAAATCCTGGAAACACAGAGGTGTTTCTCAGGTAGACTTAAGGATCCTGCCTGGGTCCCTCAGCTATGAGCCCTGGCTTCAGTGAAAGAATATACTCCCAGGAAAAGTGGCAAGGAGAAATATAACTAGTCTGCAAGGGGAAAATACTTCATTACAGTTGTCTTTGACTCTTTTAGTTCTCTATGCCATTCTAGGTCAGCAAAATTTCAGCTCTACCACCATGGCCTTGTGTTATCCAAAAAATCTCTCTGTTTCGACCAAGAGAAGATAACAGTGGCTAAATATATACTGTAGGGAAGATGCATTCTCTGGTGCAACACGAAGCCCTACCTGCATCCTGGGAACATTTTAGGATAAAGCTTCGAAGCAGAGGATGGATGAAGCTGTGGCAGGCTATCCAGTTGAGGAACTAGGACTGCAGGTTGCGTTGTGGAAAACTTCTCTGCCTTGCTCTCTGGAGAAAGTGTAATCTCTTCTGCAATGGGGAGGGAGACTAAGTTATACCAATACCAAGCGTATCCATTCTCTGCGTATCAAATGGGAGTTTTGCATTGGTCATTCAGAGTTTTACATGACAGATGATGGAAAAATTACAGAATTTTAGGGAATCCTTTTTTCATGAAGAAAAGTTTTAGTAGACAGATCTTAATAAGCAGCACTAATAAGATGAGAGGCATAACTTGCCCCTTGGGAAACTCCTTCCAGTCAGTGCCATGGGTGTAGAAAATTACAAGCCTGGGATTCACCGCCTGAGAGAATTCTTACGATGTCTGCAGAACTAGTAAAGACTCTTGATTAATTTAACATATGTGGATTTGGAAAGGTGTGGAGGGGTAGGATTTCTGAGTCGTGGAGGACTTTGCACTGCAAGTTTACTGAGGAGACTTTTGTATTTGGAAGATGCATTCTTAGCTGAATTTATTGCCAGTAGCAGTGTAGGTGGAAGGGAAACCTCTTCTTACCTTGATTAGGTATGATTTAGAAGTGATGTTTAGACTAGAAGGGTGACTTCTGCTAGTAACATGACATTACATAGTGAATGGATCATATCTACCTTTCAGGTGGAATAGGCAACTAGTTTGACTTTGACCTCATAATAAAGGGGATTTGTTGCTGGACTTTGCCTGGCCTGAATAAGGAAGTAGTCCATCGAGAAGGAAATCATTCTTTAATGTTTTTGTACTGCAAAGATTTTCCTGTCCTTTTTTTCAGTGGGGCAAGAAAAAAACATGAATTGTAAAAAAAATATTTGTCACTTCACTGGCATCTGAGTCAGGTAAAGGTTTAAAGAGAGAGAATGAAATAGTCTTTCATTGGGCAAAGAAGAAAAGTTTTATGTACTCAGAGCAATGAATTCCATCAGTACTACAGAGGTATTTTTATCTTGTTAGGATTAGTCAATTTAACTTTAGACATAATCTGAATTTAAAATATTATTAAACTTACAACAGTATTTTGTCTCCTTTCTTTACAGGTTTGCTGGTCCTCTGACACATTTCAGAATGCCGCTGGTAAAAAGAAACATAGACCCCAGGCACCTGTGCCACACAGCTCTGCCCCGAGGTATCAAGAATGAATTGGAATGCGTCACCAATATCTCCTTGGCAAATATAATCAGACAACTGAGTAGCCTAAGTAAGTACTTTGTCGTAATAGCTGTATTTAGAACTAATACATTTTACAGTCATAGTTTTTGTGGTTGAAGTAGGAACACCTTTTCAAATTCTCTGAGCCTTGAATGCACTCCTTTTGTGGCTAGTGACTAGCATGGACTTCTGTGAAAGAAAGCTAGGGATTTTTCCAGCAGCACGTCTTAAAACCATTCAGCCTTATATTTCTGTTACCAGTGGAACATGGCAGAAAAAAGTATCTGGTAGTTAATGAAGTCAATAATTGCTAACCTTGGAGCAATTCTTGGGTAGAGAATATGACATAATGAGGAATATATCACTTGTTGCTTAATTCTCTTAACTTAAACCCTTGGTCATGTTGTGGTCATTCAGGAAAAAAAGTAGTTGCCTTTTAAAATAATAAACCCCGAAATTTAATTATTGCATAGTATTTCAAACAGCTAAAGATTTTTCTTCCTTCTTCTCTCTTCTGTCAACAGTTTTTCCCTTGGTGCTTTTGAGGGGAGTGAATACTTCTCAAGCTCTAGAACTCTGAAGGAGTTTTTCTGAAAAGGCTGGTTTCTGGGTTGTTTTTTATTTAAAGAAAAAACAAGCAACTTTAAAAAGTTGTCAGATGAACCAGCATTTTCAATTTCCACTACTACAGGTGCTATTTAACCACTAGAACATTAGTAAGACTACCAACACATTAAATATTAAAATGTGCATGTGTATCCATCTACAATGTGAAAAGCCTTTCAGCTCTGTCAGTATCTTAGGGTCATAGGTGATGGAGCCTAATTTGTTAATTAGATTGATTTAGTTATTGGTTTGATGGTATACTGTATGGTGACTCTGTTTTGGCAGCATTTCAAAGCTGTTAAGGTGCTATTAGGTTGAAGACTAATTGAGGACACTGTATTATGCAGTTGTGACAGGAATGCTTACAGCGCATAAGTATGAACATTATTAGTATAGCTGCTGCAACAGCAAGGAAAATAGCTTAACTATTTAAATTCTTTTCAGTGAACCAAGGGCGTATCAGGTTAGGATATGCCTAATAATTCATATGAAGTGGTTGAGTCCCCATCCCTGGAAGTATTTAAAAGACGTGTAGATGTGGCACTTAGGGACATGGTTTAGTGGCCATGGTGGTGTTGGGTTGACAGTTGGACTCGATGATCTTAGAGGTCTCTTCCAACCTTAATGATTCTATGATTCCATATGATCACCATCTGTGGTCTTGCTTCATTCTGCCAAAAGCCCTTCTCAGATTAGCCACTCGTGTACTAGCCTCCCCTTCCAAGTCACTCTTACTAATATTGTATTCATTTATTTTAGTTTGCTTGTTTTAAAAATTCTTATTTGATTATATACTTCATGTAGGGGAATTTCCTTTCGTAGGTGGCATACCAAATTTACATTTGATATTTTCATATGGAAGTTTCATTTGACCTTAAAAAAAAAAAAAAACAAAAACAAAACCAAATCACTTGGTTTTTCAATTTTAAAGAACACCAACTTCTAACTCAACATCATGGTCTCAGTGCTTACCTATTAAGATTCAGCTGCCTTTGCTATGTTTTCTTGGTATACAGAGCTTATGCCTGACATTGTGTATACAGCTGCTCAGGAAGAGGTCGGGATGAAGCAATACCAGAACAGAAAGAACTCGGTTAAGGGAGGAAAAAAGTATTGAAGAATATCCATTGAATGCTCCCACATTTGTTATATGGTTTGCCTAATGTATAGCACAGTTAGGGAGACACTTTCAAGGGAACGTAACTGTAATTATGTAAAGTCCTTTTCTGTAAAAAGAATGTGGTTCTATGTGAAGCGTGCATACATAGGAATGAGCCCTAAACTAGCTGTTTTCACTTGAGAGGAGTTTCTGTCATGAACTTGTGGCTCACTAGTGGTCAAAAAGGCACGTGGTGTTGGAAATGATAAGGAAGGTAAAGGAGGAGGGAAAATGCACTAGTTTAGTCTGCAACAGCAAGCCTAGAATAGGTCGTTCAGAATTTTTTATAGGTAAGTTAAACACTGATGAGCAGGACCTGTTACTTCAATCTTTTGTTCTTCCTTCCAAATAGCATCATGGTGTTTGTGGGTTTTCTACAGGCAGTGTTTATACCAACTGTTTATACCAAACTAAGTTTTTGGTTTATACTGTGTATGTTTTTAACAAAAAAACATTTTTTCCTACAATTACGTAGAACATGTTTTGCAAAATAATCCTTATTTCTCAGCAATATTAAGGATTGCTCTATAAAAATGGAGATCATGTTACAAAGGTATGAGTACCTGTGAAAGTATTTTGTTCCAGAATTCTTTTAGCTTTTCTGCCTCTTTGTGCTAGTAGCAATGCAAATTCAAAAATATTTGGGAGTTCTGGCATAGGAGTTTTGTCTCTCATGTGCTTAAACCCAAATAACCAGTCTTCACTTGGTGTGTCACTGTTACCGGTGTACAGCGAGGCCTGCTGACATGCAGATAAATTTTAGTAGTTGCCTGTGAGTCACAGCCAGCAGGCATGGTTTCACAGCAGTCCCCTGGCAACCAGCTTCTCTGCAGTCCTTCCCTTTTTGTTTTCTGTGGATAATGTGTATGTTTTAAAATCAGCCTTGAAGTTGTAGACAAAACGAGGCTTCACTCTGGGAGTGGAAACTGAGTCTTCTGGTAGTGTTTCATTTCCTTTAAACTAAAGCTGGTTTTGCTTTTGACAGTAAAGTTATGCAAATTTAAATGAATGGTCTTTGACCTGATTAGCACTTAGTAATTTCTGCCTCTAAGATTTTTCAGTTACCAGCCCTCAAATAGAGGATTAATCTCCTGCCATTATGACTCTCAAGACCAACCATTCTTAATCTTTCTTCTGATATGATATGGACAAAAAGCGCTGTGATGGAATTAGAGCGTCCAGTACTTTAAATGATACCAATAAACATTCTTTAGAAAAGCTAAGTGTAGAGTTTTGTCATGTATGTCGTTAGATCTCCATTCTTGGAGATACTAATAACTCGACTGGGTCAGTCAAGCAACTGGATCTAATTGGATCTGCTTTGAGTATGGTGTTTGACTAGATGACCTCTGGAGGAGGCCTTTTCAACCTGAACAGGACTATGTTTCTGTGATCTTGGGTGCTATGTGTAAGTAGGACACGCCTGCAGAAATAATACCTATTAAATTACAGGAATTCTGTTTTCCTGTGTTTTAATATAAAATGAAAAGCGCTTTACATCAGTATGTCAGCAATAGCTGCTATGTGTCTCTATACCAATTCTCAATCCTTTCATAGTTTATTTGATGTGTTGCTTTTAGTTGTTCAGTTTGAGAAATTTTCTGACCTTTAAAAGAAGTAGAGATGAAAGGACGAAATATTTATTTCTGCTTTGAGTGATAGTCCTTGCCTTTCTCCCTGGAGCATGAAAACACATCAGTCTGTCTTGATACAACATACAAAATTGCCAGTAAGTAATTTTTCCCCCCCTGTCTATTCCCAGTCTTCTCTAACTTCATAAAAGGATCTGTCTTCTGACAGCTTTTCTCAGCACTGTGGCAACAGAAACTCTCTGGACAACAGCAACAGCTGGTTTAGTTTCCTAGCCATTCTTCCCTGTATTTCTTGCTTTCTGACTGTATCTGCTTTGGAGAAGTGCTTACCTATTTTTTTCAGCAATATTGCAGATACATTAGTACTCCAGTACGGCCTGAGTTGATACATGTTCATGTATGTCAGGCTATAGCATTCCAGCATACATGAAATGTAACTGATAGCACTGTGCAGCTGTGCCATTGTTGGATAAATAGTTCTCTTGTGTGCATGTAACCTCCTCATTTTGTTCACAGCTATTGACCAATCTTGTTTTTCCTTTTATTCAGCTGTTCCCTGTACACAGAATCTCAGTACCACATAAGAAACCTAACTGATGGGGTTTGTTCTTGGCCCTGGTTTCTGACACCTCCATCTGGGGAGGAGAACATTTCTCCTTTTGAGTATGTTCCTTCAATGAATATTTATATTGCAGGCATTCAGACCAGAACTCTTATTCAGTGATAGCAAGATGTCATTTCCCTTTTTTTCTTCTACCTCTGTATGAAGAAAGAGAATGCTGCATAACTCTGTTTGCTAAGCTGGAGCACCTTTTATGTTAGTGAAAACAATTTTCAATTAACATTGAACCTTCAGTAGCCTTTCCCCTCTTTCTGTCTTTTCTTTGTACTATTTCCTATTTTTGCCACATTCTCCTAGTTAGTTATTTCTTTTCCTCACCCCTTATTTGTTAGTTTTCAGGAGTGAAACCCTGACTTTTGAGGATATTATTTCTACCCCCTTTTTTTCCCCTCTCAGACACTTTTAACTTTTCTTCCTTATTTTTTGCTTACCATGCCATCCCCTAGAGCGTTTTAAACACTGCTCATCTTGTGAGAGACGTTTTCTCACCTCGGGAATCCTTCAGTTTGCCATGGCTTAAGGTGTTAACATTCAGTAAGTGGGAAATATTTCTCCAGAAATACCTACCAGCAAGGTGTCTGGACTGCAACTAATCTTTAGAACGAGGCCTCTTCAGCTCAAAGACCAGCCTCTCTCTCTTCATACTCTCTGGACAACATCTTCAGCACATGGTGAGGCCCCCGCATGTTGCATGATCAGAGGTAGGTCTCTGCAGATCTGCAGCTAGAGCTTCAGTCAGTATTCCGGAACCAGCAGCATCCCTGCGGCAGGTCCTGCCCTGGGAATCCTCCTTCTCACTGTGCTCACAAGCATATTCAGTATTCTCTGTGAATTTTCTTCATTAGTCACCCCTCTTTCTTTGTTATTACTATGATTGCCAGGGAACACTAGAGAAAGTGTTCTTATGCACATGGGGTAAGGGAACTGATGGACTTGAAAACTAAAGGCTTACTTAGCTTTTCAGAGACCCCCATCCTCTCAAAGACTTCTGTCTAATTTCTTAATGTTATCTCCCCAGCAGTGGCAATATTGGCAATGTGATGCTGTTTCGTGTCCACCTCGAATGATAA